GTCCCTCCCCTTCACCACCGTCCCTCCCCTTCACCACCGTCCCTCTTAGAACAGACATGTGAGAAGTTTAACACTCGTGGAATGCTTGTGTTTTAAATGGAAACATTCGAATCAATCATTTTGACAATCGTATATATATATATATATATTAGGCTTGTATCTCCGCAAAGGAGAAGTAAAGCCGGATAAGGATGAGGATGTCCGTTACATATAAGCTTAAGGAGTACAATATAATAGCATACATGGATAACGAGTCTCGTCAGAGGATTTGGCGGAAAGTATAATCGCATCATGATCACCGATCATGTATCTAAATTTACATCCGTTAGGGGCGGATCCAGACATACATGTATATCGGGGAGGGGTTTCTCCCATGTGGAGGGAAAAGTGGAAAATGGTGAAAATAATGACTTTTAAAGAAAATTATCGCTAACGCGCAGTCATTACTAATGTACAATCAAGCGACTTCAGACCATTCAATTTCCCAAGAAATTCGGTTCGATCCCCAGCGGTGGCGGAAAAAGAGAGTGATGTCTGATAGGGTTAGTTGTTATCCCTCCGATGGCACGGTGGTTTCCCCCCGTGGGGTTTCCTCCATCACGAAAACATCGTTTGTTCCCTTAGCGGCATCGTAATAAAAGCTCTACAGAGCTTATGTTTGCTGTTGACAATGTACACGACGCTAAATAAAGATTAAACAAAATTCATATACCATATAATACAGAGAGCCACGAGTTAGTGAAGCAGCGATTTCTCTGTTCCGAAATCATATGTGTTGCTGCATGCATGAAGACAGTATATGTACATGATCACACAACCTAGGGACAACTACATGTAGGATAAGTGTTTGACGAGTATCTGATGGGTTCCAATATGTTGAAATTGAAACGAGACAACGCATCGCCATTCCAGCTTAGAGTTTGTACCATCGACGTGCCATTTGTAAGACGCTTTATGATCTGTATTCACACGTACATTTTGTATACCACGCCGGGGATCAAAATAATTAGATTCCTCATAACTCGTTTTTTTTTTTTTTTTTTAAATATCGAGCTGAAATTTGGAATATATATCAATAAAAGTCTAACTAATAACATATCTTCTGATGTCACTTACTTTAGCGAGTAATTTTAACAATATTATCTGGCGACGCTTTCTTTCCTTTACATGCTAATACACACAAATCCGTATCAGCATTGTGGAACAGCCTTCAGACCTACCTCTATAATTTGGATCGTCAGCTGTTTTAAAAAGTTTTTGAAAACCCATTTCTTTCAAATTTATAACTCCCAAATGAACGGTAGATATTTCATTTTGTCCTGTTTTACACGACTATGTCTCACTTGAAACATTTTGTGACATATTTTAGTCAAAGCTTTAGATTTGTTCTATAACAATTGCGCTATACATATTTTGTAAATCATTATTAATTATGAATTGTTAATCTTCTTTATACCGGGAAAATTTCACCATAATCAAATTTTGTCTCTTTTGCACTTTGGGATGAGGGCAATTTAGTAATGACACCGAAAATCAGTGGACAATATAACATATCTAGTGATTCACAGAGAACAAATGCGTACACTTGCATGTATTTACTCTCGTTGTTTCGTTTTAATCACTGGTAAATGATCAACCGTTTCCATAGTGCCCTGTGTGAGCCGCTATATAAAAGGGATCTATTGGTCCACAGTTAGCCGGGCACCTACCTGGGTTGTCTGGGATTGCCACCTTCTGCTTTAGATTTTACTATTTTTATTTTATTGTCTTGATGATACACCTCTTTCTTTCTCCTGTCAATTGACACTGAATCGCCGTCTTTGATATTTACATTCATAGAAGCCGCCTATTTTTCCTATTATACAATTATATTACAAATTAGTAGCTTGGTCTGCACACTTATGGATGTGTAACTTGATCAATCAAATCGCCTGAAAGAGTTTTATCACATAATGTACTGTGTTATCCAGTGAATATACACGTCATATTTTGTTTTGCGCATTAGCCCATGTAGTATGGCCTAGTATCGGCCCTTTCAATTGTGACGTCACGCCAGGACAAGTTCATGAGGTCACAGGTTTAAGAAGTCAAAATGGCGTCTTTTTACATTTGAAGGTTGCATGAAAATTGTCGTTTTACAAAGAATAAATACCACAAATCTTGATTATGTGATAAAAAGGATCTTACATGAGTTTCCATTTTATATGAGATTTATGAAACTCGTCCCGAATTTTTCGTTTTAGCTCGCCAGAGACTCGTTTCATGAATCTCATATGAAATGGAAACTCATATAAGATCCTATTATTCTATTATGGCCCTTTCCCGAGGGAACTGTTCTCTTATAGTGTTGTCTGGAGAGGTATAGTACCCGAGCCGTTAGGCGAGGGCACTATACCTCTCCAGAAAACACTATAAGAGAACTGTTCCCGAGGGAAAGGGTCATAATAGATTTGGTACATCACATGACTGTCATTTGACAATAAAAAGTAGCATATTTAATAATTAAC